GGGCTGGGCTGGCGGGGAGCCCGGCCCCGGGGGGCACAGGGGCGCCCGGCCACCAGCTGCCAGCGTGGAGCAAGCACCGGCTGTCCCCGCCTTGTCGCGCCCAGGCCTCGTGGCACGGAGTGGGGACCGAGGGACGCGAGCCAAGGCCTGGGGCTGATTGTGATTGGGTAAGTCCTGGTCTGGGAGGTGGGGCGGCCTCCCCAGAGGAGTGGGATTGTAGTCCAGTCGGGATATTTGTAGGATGTGCTGTGGGATTCTCCTGCCTGCAAGCCAGATTACGTCTGCTCTGGGTTCCTGGGTTTCCATTCATGAAATCGAGCGTGCTGACGTCATCCAGCCTTGCCAAGTGCAGTGACTCCTTAGACTGTATAGACGATCCAAGATTGGACGGTTTACAGGGAGTTAAATATGTGCAACATCATATGTGAAATCATAATACAATGCTTTAGTAGAAGACAGAGCAGCCAAAAGACCGACAGAAGATGTTAAAAGAAGAAAAGCATGCGCATCGTGATGTCATAGGTTCAACTTCTCTGTTTTAAATTCACAATGCCAGTGACGTGGCTCCTGAAGAGGCTTGCACAGCAGGTGGCCCGTGGTCAGTAGCATCTCCGCTTCTGCTTCATGTGCGCTTGCTGCCACTGAGTGTCTGAGCTCCACTACTCTGAATCCTATGGGAAGGCTTCTAAGGGTTACACGGAACCCTGGCAAGTCCCCCCCCACATAGAGGTTTGAGGGAGCTGAACAGAGGGAAGGCACAGGCAGGGAAACCAGGGAGTCAAGGGGGTAGAATTAGTTGGTGTTGTAAAGCATCTGTTTTATTGTAATGCCTGTGACCTTGACTGAGCTTCCACTTCCCCTGCCTGCTTCTTCAAGCCCTCCTGTCCTGGGCTACACTTTGAAGAGAGTGTGGATGCCGATCTTGAAAGGAGCTTGGAATAATGTCGTGGGGGAGGGGAGGTTAGTTACTCCATTTGGAAAGAATTTTTTTCCTTTAATTGAAAATCACTCTGTTGCCCCCTTGTAGAATAAGGGTGGATTTCCTGGAGGAAGCCATTCTAGCTCATTGGAAGCAAACAGACACACAAACAAATGTGGCCTGCGTCTGGTTTGTGAAGTTAGCTCGCAAGTTGCACAAAGAGCGCACGAGGAGACAGAGGTAGGGCAGGTGGAGGTGAGCGAAGCTGAGTCATCTTCAGGTGTATCAGCTGCAGGGCAGCCGGGTGTTTCAGTCTCAATAAAGTGTAATTAGTTGCCCAGAAATATCTCAGAATGTTGGGGACATTTTAATGTCTGGTCACCATGTGATCTTTTGCATTCAGCGTACATATCTAGAATAATTACAGAGCAAAAAATGTTGTGTTTAAGGCCCCGATTTAATTTTTGCCTATTCTTTCAACAAGCATTGAACATCTCATAACTGACAAGCATTTAGGAGTTACATTGCAAAAACGTGTCAAGATCATCACAATATTGTCATGCACACGGATTTATATAATATGAAAATTATTTTCCTAGTCTAATGACTAAAATCCAAAGCAATTACAACTCCAAGTGCTGGCGATGATGTGGAGCAAGAGGAATCTTCTTTCGTCGCGCTGGGAATGTAAAGTTGACGTACTGCTTTGGAGGCCGCCTGGCAGTTGTTAGGAAGCAGACTTGCAGTAGGATCCAGTAAAGCAAGTTTGTATGATACTGTAATGGTGAGCACAAGACGTTATGGATGTCTTTAAACCTGAAAGACTGTACAACAGAAATTATAAACCCTAATGTAAACTATGAGCATTAGTTGACAATAAATAAACTAACATTATTGGTTTCTCAGTTGTAATAAATATACCTTAGGAAAGAGAGATATTAACAGAAGACAGCATGCATGGAGCAGAATATATGGGAGCTCTTTATACTTTCTGAACAATTTTTTTTCCTGTAAAATGAAAACAGCTTTAGAAAATAATTTCAGTTGAAACAGAAAAATATGCCATTGGAAGAAGGAATTAAGAAGCATCTAGAACACTTCATAGAGCAGCATTGTGATCGTAATAGCAGTGACCAAGGATGGCCCAAATTATCTAGCACTGATTGTGTCGCAGGTACTGTGGCCACTTTACAAACATCTCTCACTGGCATCAGACCCATCCCGACCGTACAGGAGAGGGAAGAATTGGCCCTGTGAGTCTCCGAGACTGTAACTGTTTAAGGGTGTAGAAAAACCCATCTTTCTCCGCCAGAGAGCTGGTGATTTCAAACTGCTGACCTTTTGTATCGCAGCCTAATGAGTAACCGCTAGGCCAACAGGGCTCTCTTCCGTCTACATTCCTTCTCACAACCAACAAAGTTGGCAATGTTGCCATTGTTTTATACATTGTTTTATACATGGAATTGAGTCCCAGAGAGGAGAAATACCTTGCTCAGAGAACACTGATGGAGTTATTAGAGTCTAATCTCTTATTCTTGCAGATATTATTTAAGAGCAATAATTTAGTCAATTCCCAGCTGTGAGTTCTAGAACTATTCTCTAATAACAAATACATTAATCATATACTCGTATGAGTTTGCAGACATGGTATGAGAGCCATGTCTGACCTCTTCTGCATACGTAAGAGGAAAGGAGAGTCCAACTTCACTTCAGCCCCAGGGTAAGTGTTAGGAGACAGAGCTGCCTTCACCCTCAAACCCTCTTTACACTATCCTGACGCTTGCTAGCCCTCCCACAGCACTCTACTCCTCTGCTGGGTTTGATAATTCATTGCAGTGGCCTCACAGAGATCACAAATTATGAGGGTTTATTTGGGAAGCTAACAGGTGTGGTAGTTACACAATTTCAGGACAACTTAAAGATATAGAAAAGTATAGGAGTGGTCTTCAACCTGTCAATCAGTTCACAGCCTGATGGTGCCTCCTGGTGCGAGTGGCCTTCTCATGTGGATGGTCCTGGGAACATCCCTTTTCTCTCTGCCTTCCCTTTCCTGCTGGTTAACCCTGGTTGTTCCCAGAGGCCTGTGGTGGATCCACATTGCTCTGCACCCATGAACCTGTGATATTACTGCATTCTGCATCAGTCTGTGACTGTGTGAATCTGAAGAGGGACTTATGGACTAGTACCATACTAAGGGACTTTAGTTGGACGGGGCTGGGATGTTTTCATGATATGTAATTACTTCTTGATATAAAGCTCTTTCTTACATTTGTATGAGTGTCACTGATATTGTTTCTCTAGTCAACTCAACAGCCTAACACAACAGGCTGCAAGTTGGGATCAGAAATGTTAAGGATGCAGGTCTTTTGTCTGCAGCATCTCTCCTCAGCTTACTAGCAGGCATGCCTGTCTCTGGTTCTGGCCATAGCCTCTAGGCCTTTTGGCCTCTGCCCAGCTTGAGCAGATATTATAAAGCTCCTTTAGCTCTGATAAATATCCAAAGGATAGATCACTCTGCAAGCCACCTGCCTGGCTGAAGGTATTTGGCTTTACCTGTTCTGTAGACCTGAAATGTTGCTGCTATGTCTAATAGTCTGTTTGCTGGCAGCACTTCTCCATGCAAGGCTCTTGAACACGCTTGCTCATGGCTCTTCGATCTTGATAGTGATGGGTTTCTCCCCTCATGATTCTGAGATGGACACTTTATACCCAATGGAATTCCAGAACTTACCAGTTCCCTCATTAGAATTCTACACACCTGTTTGCATGCTCCCACGCAGTCATTTGGTGGGAATTGTAAAGACTGTGGATAGAAGAGATAAACTAAGTAATTTAATAGTGCCACAAGATTTCTTAGTTTTCAAGACATACCTGCTTGATAAAATCTTTAGTTGATTTTCTTTCAATGTTGAAAATATTTTTGTCTTTACCTAAAGCAGTTATTATGGATTCATATGTAAATTATTAATGATAGATTGTTTAAAATGATCAAACAGGGTTAAAGGCCAAGCAATTTATTTGCATAAAAACTCCTCCTGTAATCTTTCCTGTGATATCCTTTTTCTAATACATTTAGCTTAAAAATGATCTGGTTGTACTTGCCAGCAATAAGAAGAGGGGGAAAGTCATGACTGTCTATTATCCTCTCTCACATCTATGTAAGCCAGAGGTTCTCACTCACCTATTTTCAGAGTAATCAATTCCCTTTTTTAAGTTACTTTTTTTATGTAAAGCACGATAGGAGTGAAAGGAGCCCGTGGGTTCTGGGTTGGGGTGCTAACTACACGGCTGGTGATTTTAACTCACCAGCCAACTCCGTGGGAGAATGATGGGACTTTCTGCTCCTGTAAAGATTCACAACCTTGGAAACCCCACAGGGCAGTTCTCCTCTGTCCTATAGGGTCCTTGTGATTCACAGCCAACTGGATGGCAATGAGAGTTGAGATAGGAATATCGTTAAGGACAGGGCTTATTCTCATATGTTAATTTTAAACTCCATTTAGATGCAAAACTACAAATGTTGAAAATTAGGTGTTATTATAAATGCAAGCAAAAGCAAACTCATACAAATGCATGATAGTGTGAAGTCTTTCTTAGAAATATTTGAGGTTAAAGGATTCCTCCCCCGCCACCATAATATTCTACCCCAAGATAGTATATGGTTTGTTTGTTTTTTAATGGGAGATATACCTATTGAATAGAATTTCTTTCTTTCTTTTTTATTACTGCTAAGCATTAGGAAGGTATTTTGGGTCAAGGAAAGTACATGTTTTTAAGAGGTTCACTGAAAGGGTATTTTAATGATTAACACTAACTGAACTATACCAGCCAGGTTTAATAATTTATTTTAAGTTTAGAGATTTCTTTTCATTGTTTCCTTTAATTTTAATATTTTAAAACTTCCTAAGCTTGAGGATACTCACCAATCCATGCAAACTAAAATGAGTAAGATACGATCATTTCTTTTATTATTTATCTTTGGTTATTCAGAGGAATTTGATATATTTCAAGAAGCCTTTTGGGACTAGCCTTTTTTTTACAAGAGAGCAGGTTGAGTTTAGCAGGTACAAAGTACAAGGGCCCTGGCTATGGGGCAGGTGGGGGCCAAGATCCAGTGCGTGTTTTACTCGAGAAGCCTCATGCTTTGGAGGAAGGTCATGTCCTTTCAGAGTTTTGAACAGCGTGCCCTTCTCTACCTAAGCCGAGTACCATTTCACAAAACGTTTCTTTGTGCTTTGTTTTAATTCACATGAAATTGCGTTTTAAGAAAAACAAAGATGGCAAGGTCCTAAGGCTGAGTTTCCTGCATATAGAAGAGCTATGTGTGGTGTGTGGTGTGTTTACGTATGGTGGGCGCATGTGTGTGGGGGGTGTGTGTGTAAGTGTGGTGAGTGGAATAATGCTGATACTGGGGTAGGGCCTCCCATGGCTGAGCAAAGTCAGGGATGAAGGCCACATGGGACTGAGTTACCTGTGGCTACTAGTAGAAGTCCTAAGAAGTACAGTGTATTATTATTAGCACTTATAATAGATATTTGTTGAAGTTCTCATGAGTTGGAATATATGACGAATCACTCCCGGTGACATGGCAGAAAGAGAGGAGCAACTTTGTATGAAGAGAAGCTCCTCATATTTTGTTTTATTTTTCAGGAGAGGACTCTCAGAAGGTTCTGGAAAGCCCAACGTTGCTGTGAAAAGCAAAGGCCCTTTACCTATACATTTTACAAGAAATGTGCAGAAAGCCATTGATAAGTACACCTGGTAAGCATCCATTTGCTAAATGCTTTTGATGACAAAATAATCTTCAAAGGCCTCTCTCTCCTATGGAGGACTCCCTGGTGGCACCGTGGATAAAGTGCCCTCCTGCCCACTGAGCGCTTGTCTGTGCGAACCCATCGGGAGAAAGCGGCGACATCCAGGGCCATAGATTACAGCCTTGGAGTGCCTGGCAAGAGGGGTGGGGGGTGTTAGAGGGGTGGGCAGTTCTCACCTGTCGTGGAGGTCTCTTTGAGTCGGCACTGAGTCCACAGTGGAGAGGGATCTGGGCAGCACAGTCAGTGACTGGCCACGACTTTCAGAAATTGAAATGATATTAGGCTCAGCTGAGTGGAGAGTACTCCTAAGCCCTTCGAAGGAGTGAACTGTGCAGTTAGGAAATGTATTTAAATAACGAAACTGCACCGACTCAGGCAAGTAAGCCCTTTTCCGCGTACCCCGCTGCTCATTGGAGGTGCTGTGTTCCTCTCTCTGCCCCCGCAGTGAATCTGTGTCGTCGTTGTCATCGAGCGGAACCACCACGCCCACAGAGGCGCACACCTCTTGGTCTGGGACCCAGAGCTCCACCACCGGCTTCTCTACGGAACGGAGCTCCATATGCTCGTGGAGAGACGATGTACGTTCCGCCACGTTGTGGATGAGCACGTGGTTACAACTTTGAATGAAGAATCACTTGCTTTGTTTTCTTTGGTCAATTAGAAAGGCATTTTTACTGTTGTTCTTTTGCGGGAGAAAGTACCGTAAAAGGAAAAGAAAGCCTCTCATGTGGTAGAAATTACATCTTTTTAACGAAACCGAGGCTGGGCAGATTAATGGTCTTTGTGATCCCAAAGCCCGTATTCTTTCCATCAGCTTATATTCCCTCTTGTAGAATGGGTTCCTTTAAATGTCTCCATGTCGCTGTTTGCGACACCCGTAAAGCTACAACTTTCAGTCTTGTGGCTACATATGCACTTCCGTTTCAGGAATTTGACAAAGGCAATTCACAGAAAGTTCAGCAGTTATTCTGGGAGGTCGAAGAAATGTTATTTGAAGGGAAAGTAAGCGCTCAGACCCAGAATCTACTGACGGAATGCAGCGAGTGGGCCGGACGATCCCTCCATCTGAGGTAGGAAATGGTTAATCGTCCATCTGTAAGATAGGGTTTCAACTCTCCATTCCCAAGCTGGATTTTTGATCCATCCATTTTGTGTGAAAGCAACCGCCCAGTGAAACTCTGTATCCACAAGACCTGGATGCCACGTCCTTGTCAGGCTACCTGGGGAAATGAGGGCACATGGGGCACCAGTGTGAGCATGATGGAATGAATCCTCTACATTCCCTTTCACTGGAATGTGAACAACGTGGGCTGGCCTCCGTGATGAGGAGCGGTGGAGGCGGAATGGTGGGATAGGTGAATCTTACATTCCTCATGTAGGGAGCATGATGTATGATTCCGATGTAGGGAGAGTCCGCATTTTTTAATGGCAAAGATAAAAAGCATAGATTTGATATGAGGGGAAGCTTTTCCTCCCTCCATCACCAGGCCGATGTAGCTCATCCATCTCAGCTCTCCGAAGTTTCTCTCGTATACTTGAATGAATACATTAGAATGCTGTGTTAGTCTAGGTACATTAGAGAAACAAATCCACAGAAAACCATATGTATATAAGAGAGTTACATAAAGAGTAAGTGTACATTAAGAAAGCATCCCAACGCAGTGCTGTCCAAGCCCATAAGTCTGACATTAGCCCATTATGTCCAACACCGATCTACGAAGTCCTCCTCCATCTCACAAAACACACAGCAATGACGCCGACTGCAGGAGGAAAGCTGAATCAGTGAGTATGTAAACATCTCAGCGCTGGCAGGGGTCTCCATTAGACTGCTCCAGCACCCAGCGCTGTATCGGGGCAGGTCCATGTGGCTTCTCCTTGGGGATGTCTTACAGGAAGTGAGCCTTGCCAACTGAAGTAGGGAATTGGCTAAGGCAGCTGCACCCTGGTCCGACCATCTGAACACAAGAGACCCGAGAACTCGAAAGACGGGCTCACTGAGCCATTTATCTCTCCACCCTTCAGTTAATCCCACATGTGTTTATCGGCCAGGTTGGCACAATAAACCTTAACTATCTCAAAAGCTCATACAAATGCAGATGCGTTCTCTAGTCGGTTACCTCATCGAGGTAACTTTAAGCATTTATCTTGACTAAAAATTTTTGTTAGTTTCCTTTTTAAAAAAACATGTTGCCCTGCACTCCTGCCTTAGAGCCCATAGCGCCTTCAGGGATCAGTCCTGAGACAGGAAGAATGGTGGCTTCCTCTTCCAAGGAAAAACAGCCCAGAGGGCAGAGTGGGCTACTTTGTGAGCAGTTCGGATTCACCTGTTTGAAATCACTAGCTGCTCCTCAGGAAGAAGATGGGACCATCTGCACTTCTAAATAGTTAGAGCCGGGGAAAGGATGGGCAGTCCTACTCTGGTCTGGAGGGCTGCTATGAATCAAAGGGGCTCTGACAGCATGCAGGCCTCTTCCTCTAGGGGTGCTTCCTTCACAGAATGCCGGGAGTCGGGCTTGCCCGTGAGAGTCGTGTCTAACAGAGTGACGATGAAAAGGAAAGAAGGGAGGAGGATGAAAAGAAGAAACAATCTCAAGTTGCAGAAGCCCAGGATCTATACTAACATCCTTTCCTTCCCCATGTCTAATATTGAGGCACATTCATAGAGCGCGTCTAGGAGCTCAGGATCACCCTAGACAAGTGGCATGCATTAGCCCCAAGTATCTCCGACCAGGCAACTATTAGTATGCCATTTTGCAGTAAAAAACAAACCACTGGGCTAAAGTTAGTGGCTTGGAGCAGTGGAAAGCTTTGCCCATGGTCAGTGTAGGGAATGCCGTGGGCACCCAGTCTGCCCGACTCTCAGAGCCGGTGCTTTCTTTGTGACTCCGGTCCTTGTTCCTTCACACATGCGCACCATCGCTATTATCATCATAGCCTCTCTCTAAAACCTCTCCAGTCAAAGAGATGGTGGTGGTGGTGGTGGTGGTGGTGGTGGTGAGGTGCCATCAAGTTGGTCCTGACCCACGGAGACCTTATGCACAACAGAACAAAACACCTCACGGTCCCGTGCCATCCCCACAATTGTTCCCATGCCTGAGCCCATTGTTGCAGCCACTGTGTCTGTTTCTTAAACTTTCCATCGGTTTCTTTATTTTACCTTGCAGAGTATTAGGAAGACAGCTCATCTTGCCAACTGAGGAAGGCGTGCAGCATTTCCAGAGCAGCGGGCCTAGTTTTATAACCCACAGGCCCTCGCTTGAGTCCCGTGAATGCAACAGCAACAAGGAGTATGTATAAATCACTAGTGAGACGTGGTTTTTGTATTTTTTTAAATTTAATTAATCATTTTATTGGGAGCTCTTACAAATATTAGGACATTCCCTGGTTCAATTAGATCAAACATAATTGTACAATTGCTACCACAATCAGTTCTTGATTTCAGCTCCCCTTTATCCCCAACCCTACCCCATGAGAACCCTTATTATTCTTATTATATATTATTATTATAGGGTTTGGGCTTTCTTGGCCATATTTTACCCCATCCAATACAATACATCCATTCACCTACAATTCTGTTATTTGCTCCCCTTGACTGGGGTTATGCAGTCATGCTTGCCATCAGCTACCCCCACCCCCATTCTCATATCCTCAGGGAATCATTATTCCTGTTACTGAGTCTGAAGGGTTATCTATCTTGGCTTTCATGCAACGAATGATCTTAATTATATAAATGAACATCCAGAGGTCTAACAATATTAATGAGATAAAACAAAGACCATCACAGTAAGGGGAGGAAATATTAAAGAACTAGAGGGTAGTTAGGTGTTTCATCAGTGCTCTGCCACATCCTGGATTGATCATCCCTTCTGTGTGGCCTCCTTCTGTGAGTAGTTATACTTTTTCATGTTTATCTTATCCATGAGCCTGACCTGTTTGGAAAGTCAAATTTTAATGAAGGACAAGTATGGAACATCTTGATCAAGAGCTGCTTCTGATTCTAAAATGATTATATATGC